ATTCAGGCTTCCCCCCTCCCTGTCTTTTTTCCCTTGCCATCTTCACACTTTTCTAGTCTTCTGGGTTTGGAGGGTTTTTTTTTTTGTTGTGGTGGTGGTTTTTGTTGCTATTTGTTTTTAATGCTTTTTGGTTTATTTTAGCTTGAAACCTATTGGTGATGCTTGTTTCCAAGCAGTGTTTCATTTCCATCTGGTCATGTAAAACTAGCTAGGCACAAAACTTTCCAAAATTACCTAAAATTCCTGCCAGCAGAATACTTTTTTTTCCCCAGATTTCCCCTTTAAACCTTGATCTCAGCTATTTGCCTACAAGAATAGAGTGGTTTTCCACTTAAAAGTGTGTGTTCCATTTTAAAATGTCTTTTACTTCTTATAAATAATTCCAGTAATTCTATTTCTAGGAAGATTTTAAGAAATTCATTCTTTACCTGCATATAAAATAAATCCTTCATTTCCTTCTTCAGATTAAAATCTAGTTTTTTAACCAAAGCTTAAGATGGTCTAGGTTATATTTTACACTGCTCTTTGATTTTTCAGAATGTTAAGGCAACATGGTGGTAATTTTTTTCTTTATTTATGTAATAAGACTTGTTTCATATGTTATATTTCCAGTAAGTTTACCCTATAAAATAGTGTGTGGCTTGAAATTATATTGGGTTTTCTGGTTTTGGGGTTTTTATTCTAATTAAGAAGTGAGTGCGTGGCAGTATTAAACACAGCTGATGTGATACATCTCTGGGTAGCTGCTAGAGGGCAGCAGTACCCATTTTAAAACACCATTAACAGTTTCTTGGGCTGCTAAACCCTTTCCTGCTGCTGTGTCCTAGAAACTTTTACTCACTGAGGCTTGTGAATATTTTAGCTGATGCTTTTGTTCTGCCTGCACTCGTTGCTTTTTAGTGTTAGTGGAGGAAAATAGAAGTAAAATAAATGCTTATTACAGAAATGAATTCAAGAGAGCGTCACTATTGAAGTGATGCATAATATATCTTTCTCTAATGTGAAAACAGGTCCAGCTGATGGAATGTTATTTTAGAGGTCATCCTTTCTTTTTATTCTTACTGGGTTTGATTTAGGCTATAAGCAGATATTCCTGTTTGTTTAAAATATTTTATCCACATATTTTGCTACTTGAGAAACTCTTGTCTTGCATAACATCTAAATTAACTTCAAAGCATTATACCTTGCCTTTCCCACCAGAGAAGTATTTTTCTCAGGCTAAATTCTTAAATGATTTCAAGAACAATCAGTCTCCTTTCATTGCCACGTTGACATGTGGCTACAGCTGATGTGACTGAGATGAGCAGGTTCGGTCCTTGCACTGCAGAAGAACCCAGGTGCACGTGCTTAAAAGTTGTTGCCTTCACTTGGAAATGGCTGCTGAAAAGCTTTTTATTTTTTAAATGGCCTGGCTTCTTCTGACAATGATTGTGTGCCTGTCATGCTTAATGGAAAGTTATAAAAAATATATCCTTTTTTAGACCGGTTCATCTCTAAAATCGCTGGACTCTTCTACAGAAGTTATATTCTTTTGGCTAGATTGTCTCTAAGAAATAGCTTTTAATTGTTGCAGAAGTCTTTCTGAGCTTGAATCCAGAAGGCTTCAAGCTTTGAATTTAACTGCAGTTAATAATTTGCAGTCTGTGCTGTTCGTCCCATCCAGTGGGGCTTTACCTGGCTTGTTTCTCATTTTTTGTCTCCTTTTTAAGTTATTTTGATCACCTGGTTGAATCTGGGCCATCTTAAAGACAGAACTGGGCACACTGACCTAGGGAGGACCAGGAGCTTTGTTGTTACAACAGGAATGACTTAGGGGAAGCCTTGAAATCCCCCAAAGGGGCTGTGGTGCCATATCCATGCCATCAGTTCTCTCCTGGCCACCTAAGTCCACCCCAGCAAACCCCACCAAGCCCTGGTGTGCCCCAGCTCCCTCCATGGAGGTGAAAGTCCATCTGTTGGCTGGCACGGAGGTGTCAGCCCGTCATTTGTATGATCCGGGAGCCGCCGACCCCTGTCCCCTGCCTGCCTAGTTGAGATGTTACCCCTCTGACAGCCAGACAGGCGAGCCCCGCCGCAACCCGCGCCCCTCCGCAATTATTTTCCCTCACAATTAACGCCGCTACTAACTTGACACCTTTTCCTTGTTTGCCTTTTGTAAACCATCATCCCCTTTTCGATTAATTCCCGGCATGAATATTTCCTCGCGCGCAAGTGCCGCCGCTCACCCGTGAAAGAGTTTGAACATTCTGTAGCTGTCAAGATAGCGAGGGATTACCCAGTGTGCCTTGCCGGAGTAAGTGACACCACTGAGGCCCCAGTTTGAGATGTTTATTTTGAGAGTAAGCTGACAAGCATGAAGGCCTGAGCTCAGAGTGGCAATCTTATTTAATTAAAGGCCCTCTTTTTATTGGAGCTTTCCCCCACCCCTCCCCATTTTTTTAAAAAATTTAATAGAAATATAGATTACATCAAAATAGATATTTTATATAAATATATAGTATATATTATATAAATATTTATATAGCTATATTTATTAGCTTTCTGTATAAAACACATGTAACTATAAAGGCAGACATTATTTTTTTACACATATATAGACGACTGCTGAAGCCTGGCTCCCATGAACAGTGCTTGGCAGCCCTCCACCCTCTTTTATTTTCCTTTATTGTATGGCAACCTGGAAAGGTTTTGGAGCAGTAATGCAATTGGGATGCTTGCTTAGCTATAGTCTTGCTTCCCATCCTTGGAGAAAGGGGTTGGACTTTTATACTTGTGAACATTGAACTCACTGGTTGTTTGCTTTCCCTGTCTCATCTTTTTCTTTTTGGGTTTTGCTCTCACTTGTGGGTTTTGTGTGGCAGAAACAGATGAGTTATGGCCATTCCCCACCTGCCTCCATCACCCTCTTCCTGCTTTCATTTTAATCAGTTGCTTTCCTTGTTTCACCCAACTGCTATTTGATGCACTGAATAGGTTGTAGACATCATTGTTACTGATGTTATTTTTTAATACTACAGCTTGCTCATGCTTGTCCTGTAAATAAAAGCCAGTGTTTGTTTTTTTTTTATTTTAAAAGGATGTGAAAGAAACTAATATCAAAGAGCTCAATACAGTTATTTCTCAAATTCTGCATCATCTGAGGGCTACTGCCCACATTGAGGGGCTACATTTTATAATCTTGTTCCCTCTCCTAATGGAAAATGTTCTGGTTTTAAGCTGTATATTTTATAAAGATATAATAATAGTTTTGAGAAGTAGTCTAGGGAAAGGGCTAGTCTTAACCCATCAAAACAATGAGAAGTTACCCTCTGACTTTGCTGGTTTTGGATCAGGCTCTTATTATTATTCTTTCTTAGAAGACAAGGAAAATAAAATTATTTTAAATTTTTCAGCAGTTTTCACAAGAAGGGCTTGATTTCAGCAATTACTATTTCGGAAAAAGATCAACTGCAGGTAGTATTTGAAAACCAATTGACATTTTCCTTCTGTGAATGAAGCACCCCATATGTGCAGAATTGGCCAGGGCTCTACGACTCTTCCCTTTTGAAATTAAAATAGAACAAAAACTTTCTATAATTCTTAAAAATAATTCCATATGTCCCAGAGACACAGTTCTTCACAGCACCATGTAATTCTAAATGGATGCTAACACATAACTATTTTTTCTCAAGTCTTAGACGTCTTCACATAACACTGATCAGAACTTCAGATGTTTAAATATGGATTTATTTTTTTTTCCACGTTTTTACTGTTTCACCAAACTTTTGACAGGACTAAGCACTGATCTTACAATGGGTTATCCTGATCAAGGGAGGGGCAGGTTCAGATTGGTTTTGAATATGTAAAGTCTGCAGAAGGAGTCGGTTTTTCCCTGTTAGCAGCTCACACTGCAGGCTGGGGAGCAGCCAGGACTATCACAGTAGCTGTTATTCTTCTAATGAAATTGGACTGTTAGGAGGGAAGTTTAATTCCAAATATAAGGTATAATACAGACAGTATTTAATATGATGGATAAATGGTGCCTGGGATCAGTTTATTGTATATACTGCTACACCTCAGTTTTATTCTTTCCCTTATTTGCAGCTTGTGAGAATTTTTTGCAAAGTCTGCACATGTTAGTAAATCAACCATCTAGTTAAATCCTTTGTGTACTGTGTTCCTCCTTTTGTTTGGTGTCCTGCACTATGGTTGGTGTTAGTGTAAATGCCACTGGCTTAATAACAATAGTAATAAGTTGATTCCTTCTTCTCTTTTCCTTCAACAGCTGCAAGTTTTTCTATTGCTGCCGAGTGGCACAAGCCTCCCACTCTGTTCATGGACATCTGCTCCATAAAAATATGGGACGTTATTGCCATGGCAAAATGTGCCACTTGGATTAAAAAATGCATTACCTGAATGTTGTTTGTTGTCTTTACACACTGTATTCTGCATAGGATTTTTATCCAGAGCTGGTAAATAATATCAGTATTTTTTCCTGGAAACTTTAAATTTGGTTTTAAGTAAATTGGCAAGTGACACCAATGATGAAATCCTGAGGGGTATTTTAGCTTTTGTTACTGGTTTCCTTGGAGCTCCTATCCAAGTTACAATGCTTTTGGGTTTTGGTCTTTATATATTCACAGGCACAGGATGACATATTCTCTCTTCCACTCTCTGTGTTGGTAGTTGGCCTGTAAACAGTCCTTCATGATTGCTTCTGTTTCCTAATTTCTTAAATTAAAATATCAACTAAGTTACAGAAGAATAATTAACATTCTTTAAGAATAAGAAGTGGAGATAAGCAAGCTATAAAGAATTTTTGTTGCCTGCTTTCAAACAAGTTTCTGGTTATGTTCAATAGATTTCCTGTATGAACTGGAAATTTTAATATAGGTAATTACGGATACACATGTATATATAAAATAAGTAATTACTATTTGCAATTATTTATTGGGGGTTTTTAAAAATATAATTTAAGATTGTGGGGCAGTGCTAAGCTATTTTTTTATTAATTATCTCAGGTACAAGTGATCCATATGTGAAATTCCAACTAAACGGGAAAACCCTTTACAAAAGTAAGGTGGTCTACAAGAACCTTAACCCAATTTGGGATGAGACTGTTGTGCTGCCTGTACAGACCCTCGATCAAAAACTCTGGATCAAGGTAAGTTTTGGTTTTAGATCTTTGAAAGATGAGTAAATATTTTGTCAAGCAATTACTTTCTCCTCTTAAAAGGTACTGATTTTTATTCACTGTGGCAGCGTAAAGTAAAACATGATCCGGTTAGAGAGTTTCAACAATTTCAAATTAAAATGCACGTACGTCTTTTCCAGATTTTACCTGCCTGTTTTGCTTTCTGTCTGCAAAAACCCAAGTTGAAATAAAACTCCTTGCCTGGTTGTGTTTAAAGCAATGGAGCTAAATTCTGCTCGTTCTTCCTGTGCTTGTGCAAACCCAGAGAAAGCGATCGCGGTTTCATAAGCACGTTTTAAGAACGTCATTTGGCCGAGTTGAGCAGAATTATTACCTGGGATGCAGCTGTGACAAGTAGCAAAGCCTTTTCTCATTATGAGTAATGTTACAGTTACCAGAACTGCAAGCTACCAGTTGTGAGCACTAATTGCTAAAACATCTGTAGCCACAAGTACCTGATCTCTGTGCAGCGTTTCATTATGCTACCGCGCCGAGCGTCAAGGAACAGGCACGATCCGTAGCAGCACACACGTCTCTGTTTACATAACATTAAGAAGATACTTTCAAAATGCTGTTTAAATATTTAGTTAAAAATACAAATTAAAGCAGGGAGATGGAAAATTATCCCTGAATTATATCTAAGTTTTGATCTTTCAGACACAGAATGAAACTGAAAGGGCTTAAAATATCTGTGCTATTATTGGCTGGGATGAAACTAGTTTTATTATATGAAAATTAGAACTATGTATTTTATTTTGCCACCAGGTGTACGACCGAGATTTAACCTCTTCAGACTTCATGGGTTCGGCATTTGTAGCACTCACTGAACTTGAACTCAATAGGTAATATGTTTGTTTAATTAAAGGTTGTTAATGGAGCTTATTTGAGAAACATAGGAAAATCATGAAGCGCTTTTGCTCTGGCTTAGAATTTCTCCATTTAGGAAAACTTGTTTTGGTAGAAGGGTGGGGAGCACCTGTGGAAAACGAGGAGTCTCTTGAGATAAATCCTGTACTCATGTTTTTATGCAGCCTTTATGTACTGGATTCAGATCCAACCTGGATGAGCACAGCTTGGCAGAAGGTCCCCTTTCCATTTCAGGTCTAGGAATAGGAGTTTCTATATGTGGCATTGTTTGGGGAGAGCAGCAGCAAAATAATTTATGGAAGTGGAAGAAGAAAGGAGGCTGAGACCCTTTCTTAGCCCCACGTAGCACGGGATGCTTTTTTCTGTATGTAACTGGGCTGGGGAGCAGCTTGCCTGGCTGGCTGTGAGCGCCCTGTTTGCAGCCTCCCCCCGCAGCCATCCGTCCCCGCAGCAGCTGCATCTGGCCCTGATTTAGTGTGGAGGCAAACCCTGTGTCTTTTGTCTGCTGCTGCTTCGTCTCAATGTGGAGCTGGAAGCCAGGAATTCCAAGTTTTAGTTCTCTCTTTTATATTCCCTTGCTGTGGAACTGCTTTTTGGGGTTTTTTTGAGAAAAGTAGTTCTCCCTGGGTGGGTGTGTCACAGCTCCCATGGCTGTTCCATCCAAATTTCTAGAAACATCAGTGATGTTTTCTGTGAGGTAGTTGCCAGCAGGTAGATACCAGCATTCCTGTTTTCAGAGAGGGAACTGAGTCACAAAGAGAGATTAAATAGAGGCAGAAGTAAGGCAGAGTATTGGTCTTGTGAGTAGAATCCTAGCCATTAATGCTAGAAAATTAACCTGAAAGAGCTTCCCTGTCACTCTTCATCCCTATGAAGTGGGTATAATAGTAACTTAATTCAGCGTGTATCTGCATGAGGAAAGTCACAAGTATTAAGTCATACTATATAAATGCCATGTTGCATTATTAAAAGGGTGATGTATTTTGTCAGAAGTAGGAAGGAACCCTCCAGGTTTCCTGTTTACATTTAAACTCAATATTGGGAATTTCAGATGAGAAGCTGAAATTTGCACAGCTCAGCATGACCTTTAGTAATGAACTGGAGTCAATAAATGCACTTTTTTTTTTCCTTGTAGAACTACTGAACAGGTTTTAAAACTGGAAGATCCTAACAGTTTAGAAGATGACATGGGAGTGATTGTATTAAACTTGAGTCTAGCAGTCAAACAAGGAGACTTCAAGAGAAATGTAAGTGGCTTAGGAAATCAAATTTATAGCTAGAATGTGTAGGGACCTAAAAACCCCCAAACTGGGTTAATCTGATTTATTGGGAAATGTTAACTTTATTTTCATCCTTTAAGACTCAATATTGAACTTGAGATAGATTGTAACTTTAAAACAAGCCCTGTATTTAGCTGGGTAAAAGCTATGTGGACATCTGTAGCTGGGTGGTTCTGTCTTGTTGCTGTGACACGCAGGGGCGCAGAGCTTGCTGAGTATCAGGAGCATGGTATCCACCACTGTGATGTGCAGGTTGCTGGAGTGAGTGTATGAACCATTCTTGTTCTGACTGCTACTCCAGAGCATGCTATTTTCTGATTTCCACCTAGGAGTTTAATGCTTACCAAAAAAATATATTTTTTTCTTTTTTTCCTTTTTCTTTTTTCTCCCCATGACAATGAAAAAATATATCCATGTGAAATCTAAAAGCTGAGATTTGATGTTAAATCTGCACTGAATCTGCAGAGGAGCACACTGGCTGAGAGCAAGAGTGCTTGTAAAAACCCAGACTTTGCCACTGACCATTTCTTGACTGAGTTTATCTGAACTTGGCTCCTGATGCTGAAATATGGGACATTTAGTGATGCTAGAAACCCAGAAGTCCCTGTCCAGAGACTGGAAACACCATACCTGAAGCTGGTAGTTTTAAAATTTCAGGTCCTGCGTGTAGTTTTTTGCTTTTGTTTTAATCTTTTGAGATTCCTACTATTATTTTACACAGTGTGAAACATACTAGTGTTGGTGAACTCATCCTGCTCCTGTCCAGCAAGGGTGGGGAAAAAACAAGATCAGTTATTTACTTAACTTTAATTTTCAGCCTAGTCCAATTTTAAATATGTAATAAAAATGTAAGGAGAAAACATTTCTACAAGTCTTCCATATAGCCTAATGTGAAAGCAGCTGTTTACAGTATATTATTGTATTATAGGTATGGAATTCCACTCTGAATGGGGTTATTTATAGAAACATAATTCTTCTAAGGGGTTGGAAAGCAAAATGAGAACAAACTAATGTGGGACGTCTGCCCTTTGTTATGTATTTTTCAAATAGTTGCCTTTTTGAGAAGTGTAAAATCTCAATATTAACATAACTGTAGAGTTATTTCCGCTTCAATATGTGATTATTTAGAAGCTTAATGACAACATTTGAAACACTGTTGTTGTATTTATAAATCTATATTATGAGATGGCTTTGATTTAGGATGTGAATTCCCCCCTCTAACTTGTACAAGAGAGTGTTGTTGGCACACATGTCACTGGATTGCAGGAAGGGATGAAGCAGACATAGAGTAGTTACTCTAGAAAAAAGCAGTTTAGCCAAAAGAACCTCAGAAATTCTTCTGGGATTTTTAGGAAGGCACAGGCTAGGGTGGGCCTAACCAGTGAGACAGAAAATACATTGATTTAAAGTAGCAGTTTCTGGTACTCCTGGGTGCTTAGTTAACATTCAGAGTGCAGATGATAGAAGAGTTGGTGCACACTGTAATTTTTTTTAAAGACGATGTTTTAAGCCCTCATATTTCAAATGCAAATTGCTCAACCATTTCCAGTGGAATCAGAATAGTGAAATGGCTCTGTCCACATTAGCACTTAGCAGCAAGATGTTGTTTTTGTTGTTTGTATTTTTTTTCTTTTTAAATTAGCTTATTGTAGAACCAGATGGCAGCAAAAGTATAAGCTATGTTTCTTACTAATGGCTCTGGGTCCCTCCACTTTTCATGCTTGATGACTTTTTTTTTATCTCCCTCTTTTTTTTTTCTTTTTTTTTTTTTTTGTGCAATGCAGGTATTTTTGAGTTTGTTGATTGTTCTACTGCACGAGGCATGGGACGTAGATGAATGCAGTTTCTTAGTAATAAGCTTTTCTAATACATTTTAGAAGCTGCTGTTTGAATTATATTACTAAACACTTTCTCCATTTTACTCCTCTGTTTCTGCTTTCTGGGTTCGTTTTGGTACAATGGTGGGGACCCACGAACAGAGATGGTCAAGTAGGAAGAGACGAACTTCATCCAAGGTAATCCTTATTTTTTTATCTTAAGAAGATCTGTCCCAGCAGAAAGCTCTGAAGCATAGATGCAACCTGTCTGAAGGTGGTGGTGCCCTTTGCTTTTTAGATTTTTTTTTATGTGCTGAGAAGTTTCTGCTTTGTTCTTATTCTAGGTGCTATGGTAGTTTCTAGTGGCAAGGGAGTGAGACCCCGTTCAGCAAAGAGCTGTAGAAAGAAAGAAAAACTGTATGCAGGAAATGGATATAAATTCAACCTAAAATAAGGAGCTGTGGAGGATTTGAGTTGTTTAAGGATACCCAAAAGTTGACTGGTAGTCAGTCGTGGAGTTGAACATGGGTGTCCTGGATCCCAATCTAACTGTTTGGGTCACCTCTTGCCACGGCAGGAATTCTGTGAGGCAGTATTTCTTCTGGTCCCTCCTGTGGGTTTTGAAATTCCTTTTGTTCTTGGGATGAAGACTGAGCAGGCAGTTTTCGTTCCCAGCAATGTAACAGGCTTTCCAAGATTTGTGTGCTTCTACGTAACTTCTTTCCTTACTCTTCTGTAGTATCTTCCCAGGCTTCCACTCCTTTATATTCTTGTACTGTCCCATTCTTGTAGTAGATTTTGACTTGGTTGGGAAACAGACTGTGGCTTTTTATTTGTTCTGTAAAGCTTTAATTTGCTATTGAGTAAATAACAATTATATAGAAACTGCTGGCCCCAGTACCCAGCCTGAGAGCTATACAGTCTAACTTTCTGAAAAGAAGAATTTGGCTTTTATGAGAACACATGCATTTTGATATTTTTCCCTGTATAACTGTTGGTTTGTGCCTAAATAAATTGAATAATTAATCTCCTCTTGTTTTATTTATTGCAACTGTGATGTGCAATGTAGAGGAGCCAGCCTTCTCAGGTTATGCCAGCAAGTATATTTTTTGTCAATGGCAGAAGTGCAAGTCCAGCCCTTGGAGCCAGAGGGCAGCTCTGTGAGCCCTGGGGACAGGGATATCACAGCCCTTCATTTGGTGCCTAAAGCCACCAGGCATCTCTGAATGCCATGGGCCAAAGTGATGGAATAATTGAAGAGATCAGCACTTCAGGTTTTTTTGACTGAAGCTCTGGAAATTACTCTGGCCTCCCTCAATCAGTGGAGCTTGATCCCTCTTTTTCTCACACAGCTGTCTTTGGATCCTGGCTCATTTTGAGTCCTGGAGAAGTGGGCCAGATTTGAAACTGGTCCTTTTTGTCCAGTGTAGCCAAACTTCTGTCTCTGTTGCTGTCACTACAATTTTTTTTAATTTTTTTTTATTTTTTTTTCCTATGCTGTATCTTGTTGCATTTTGAAGATTTTTTAACATACTTAAGGGGTTTTGGACCTTTAACTGTGAGCCATACAGGCAGGTCATTCAGTTTTCAAGACTCTGGCTGGTGCCTTAGCATCTTTTAAAATAAAATCAAGAGATGCTGAAACATGGTTCTGAGTGAAGTGAAAGCATGGTTTAAAAGAGGAGGGGAAAAGAAAGAGCTTCAACCCTGTGCTCTATTCTGTTCCAGTCACTAGAGGGTAGGAGAGCTTCAGTTCTTCCTAGGGAAGATAGTTCATGCTCCAGAGTGATCTCTAAAGAAAAGCTCTGTGACCATCCAAAAGCAGTAAAATAATTTCCCAGCATGCGTTGGAAAAATCTGACAAAGCAGTATTTCCTAGTTTATTGATTCTGCTACTGCACTAAAACACTAGTACTGTACATCAATAACCATCTTTAGTTAGGAAACTCTGTCTGTGGAAGCAGTACTAGCAGTTTGTGGCAGAACATAAAGGCTAGAAAGAAAAATTGTGTGCATGGGGAATATAGGTGTCTAGGGAAGGCTCAAGAGGTTAGGGAAGAATAGCCAGAGAGTATGATGGGGTAGAAAACAATGTTTCTGGACGAGATAAAGATACAGGAATAAGGGGGGCAGGGGAAATGGAGACATATACAAACTCTGCTCTTTTTTGGCTACTGAGCTGACTCTTGTTGGTTGTTGCAGGAGAAAAAGACACTATAGTTTCCGTTCGAGCAACTAGATTGGGAAAGATGTAAATTTCATCTCTGTGGGTTTAGGCAAATACAAGTTCTCTACTTGACATGGTTTTCCTGTTTTGTTTTTTACTGAACTATAGCTAGCCTGTATTGTAATATTTAGCTTTTCTTCTGCAAATACAGGAAAAAATACTTAAGAATGGATAAAATTAATAAACTTCCACAGCTTCTCTTATTCCGTATTGCCTATATGAAAGAAACCTGGTTATACTCTAATTTGACCATTTTATGTTATCGTATTGCTGGTGTGGTACATCAGTGTCCTAAATAGGTCTTGTCACATCAGTCATGGGAATCTTTCTGGCTTCCCAAATTCCCCCAAGACAGTTTGTACCCCTGTGGATGGCACTAATGCTTGACACAACCCCATGTCAGATGGGCAAAGGGGGTCATGGAGGCAGTTAGGGAACAAACATGAAGAATGCCTAGTACCCATGAGTTCCCTTGCTTTTTGAAGAAAAAGATACATTTCAGACAACAACAAAACCAGCAGCAGTTTCCAGTCTAGCTACTGTTGCCTCACTGTCATTTCAGCTAAGATGCAGGAAGGATTTCAGCAACAGAATAGTGTCCTTTAAATCACTTCGGTGCAAGAGCTGTTGAACTGGATGATTTAGCTATCTGTTGATTACAGAGTATATATATTTCACTGCTACTAGAAGGGAATTGTCGCACATTTGGGCAGGCTACCAAGACATGGGCAGCACATCCAGATGCCTCATTTTTCATGGGAGCTGAGAGCAGCATTGTCTTCTTGTGGGAGCTGGCTCCAAGACCACAACTTTGTTCGTTTTCTCATGGAGGGTGGCATTGCAAAGGTGGCATTGCAAAGGAGAGAGGATACTATTATACAGCATTAATATATGCACTTATATCTGTGTATGGGCAAACTCTCCCCTCTCTCTGTCTTTTTTTCTGGGGCTATCTGGGGTGCAGAGGGAGTTGATAGCTATCCCTGCTGAAGCAAAACCCACTAATGCTCAGTACCCTTGTTTGTCCCAGTTGGCTTGAGTCTCACCCTGAGTGCCCCATGCCCTATTTCCAGCATTTGTACAGCTGACTAACCTTTAAGTGTTGAACATCTATGAAGTAAATAAGCAGGTTTGCTTGGGGTGGATTGACCTGCAGCAGTTCCGTCCTGAAACGAAAGTGCCTCACTTGCCACCTCGATAACCTAAACTGATTGAATAAATTGGCTGAAAGGCTGCCCAGACCTGAGTGTTCCTCAGCATCGCATTGCAGGGGAAAATCCCTCACACTCTGCCTGGGCTGTTAGGTTTTATTTTTCCCTGCCTCTTTGTATTTGGCTTTCTCCCACGACACCCCGTGGGCAGTGGTGCTCGCCGGGCGTTTGGCGGGTTCGCCTGCCACAGGGTCGCGCCTGGTGGCGACAATCTCCTGTCGGTTCACTTGCCTTGCTCGCTGCCCTCTCCTCCTTCCCAGGGGGAGACTGCCTCTGCAAAACGGGTTCCCTGCCTAATGAGGAGAGGTCCGAAGAGTCTTCCGA